CTGACGGGCGAGGGCGAGCTGGCCCACGTGAGCAACTGGCCGCTCTACTACCTGTTCTGCTTCGGCACGGAGCTGGGCAACGAGCTCTTCTACATCCTGTTCTTCCCCTTCTGGATCTGGAACCTGGACGCCCTGGTGGGCCGGAGGCTGGTGATCATCTGGGTGCTGGTCATGTACCTGGGCCAGTGCACCAAGGACATCGTCCGCTGGCCGCGGCCCGCCTCGCCGCCCGTGGTCAAGCTGGAGGTCTTCTACAACTCCGAGTACAGCATGCCCTCCACCCACGCCATGTCGGGCACCGCCATCCCCATCGTCTTGGTCCTGCTCACCTATGGCCGCTGGCAGGTAAGGTGCCCGCCCCTCGCCCCGCGCAGCCCGGGGGCGTGAAGGAACAAGGCGTTCTCCTTGCTGTCCGCGGTGGTTTTCATTTGGCAGTTCGCTCCCCTCCCACACCTCTCTTTCGGCAGGGTTTCCCAGTGCCCACACGCAGGCCCGTTTCTAGGTTTAAAAAAATTAAGTGATTGGAGAAACCTGGAGACTTGGCCATCAGACCATGTTTTAATAGTCATGCCATTCTTAGAACCCAGAGGAAACGCTGTTTTTTCGAAGTAATACGTTATCATTGGGCTTTGATTGAGTTTTTAAACGCGTTTTAGCCTTGCGATGCACAGAATATGATTGTGATTCATTGTAATGTCCTTATAATGAATTGTCAGGTAACAAAGATTAAGTTTCACCGTAGTATGTGGTGCCGTCCCCCAAACGGATAGTTTCAGGCATAAAGTTTTTAGCTTTACTCTGAGACAGTGCTTAAAACAGTGGTATAATTGCAAAACAAACATGGTCAGACCAGGCAATGAAGTAATGACGTTTAAAACGAAAGAGCCACCCTTTATGGAAGTTAATGGAGAAAAGCCTGAGTTCTCTTTTCAAGGGGTGTGGTTGCAAATTTGCTGATGTAGCAAATTTTATCTTCTGGATCCCTAATCTGTAGTATCAGTTGTTGAGCTACTGTATTAGGCTTGTTGCATTAGCTTTAAAAAATGTGTGGTTTTATTCTTAAAACGGGAGTTCTTGATCAGATTAGTGGGTTTGTAAAAATGGCAAGCAGGGTAAGCCTGACAATTTGAGAAGAGTCTTTGATGGTAAACTTTTATATTTTGCCCGCGTCTTTTGGCCTCTCTCCGCCCCCCCCCGCCCCCCATAAGTTAAGCTTAAAAACTCTTTCTTAAAGATGCAAAAGTTATTAGACTGCTGTCTTGTTTTATCTGTGTTTTAAATCGTAAGACCAGTCCCTTAATTTAACAATAAAGTCAATATTTATGGGGAATCTAAGGAGTCAGACTTTCTCCAGGTTTTTCCCATTACAGCATAAAATTATCTTACATTGAGAAATACACATTCTGTGTAACACTCCTTCATGATAGGCTTACTTCTTCCAGATTTAGTTTCATTATAGATAAAATCTTGTTCCCATGGACACTTCTGTGCAGTGCATCTCTCTTACAGTACATGGAAAATACGCAGTGTGCATACTAAGAGTGACAGAGCTACGAGGGAAGGCTACCAAGGTCAGGTTTTTCTCCTTATTTAACTAAAGGAGATTTACAGTAATATTCAGATTACAAAGGGGTGCCGCCTGACTTGTGTATAGATAAATATCTCATATTTTATTTAATCTAAATATTTCACAAGTTAAGGTACTGTATTCAGTTATGTTTGGCATGATACCCACTGTTTAGCTAATAATGTTTTTCATATATTCATGAGACTTTCAGGAATCTATAATTATAGGGCCTTTTACAACTCCTCCTCAATGAGTAGTTATGTTGCATGCTATTAATATTAGCAGTCCAAGTAAGAGAAAATAGTTATTTATTGCTCGTCATCCATTCAGAACATGCTAACAGGAAGTCTGAAAACAGTACTGTACTGATGGAGTATTTACAGGATGCAGCTATCAGTATTCTAACATTTCAGGGTTATTTGAATGATCAGAATAAGCTTATCTTACAGTTTTGAACAACCTAATATATTTAATTCAAAATTTGAGGAATTTGTATACAATTTTAGAATTTGAGCTATCCAGGATTTTAGAAATTTCCTAGTTGCAAACTGTCATTTTACACATGTGGAAACACCAATTACATTCAAATTCATCTTATATAATTAATTTAAATTTCTTATTTTACATTTTTTACTATAAATTTGAAATATACTTCTAAATTTAAATAATTGTTTATCTTTTAGTTAGTTGTTTTGAAAGAAAGGCTCCCTTTTATGAAAGTTTTGTGTTTACAATTGTTTGACTGTAATAATTCCGTACAAAAATCAAAATGACATTTTTTATTGATTTTTAGAGAGGAAGGGGGCGGGAGGGAGAGAGAGAGAGATTTGTTGTTCCACCCACTTATGCATTCATTGGTTGACTCCTGCATGTGTCCTGGCCAGGGATTGAACCTGAAACTTTGGCGTGTCAGGATGACACTCTAACCAACTGAGCTACCCAGCCAGGGTGACCTTTTTTTTAAATTGGAAAAAATAAAAGTTTATTACGTGTGCATGGGGGATTCACATAGACATGGTAAATCCATGAAAATTCTCAGACAGTGAGCCAACATTGGGCATATAAAACTATTTAAACAAAGGGAAAAGGGGAAGGCGGGGAAAGGGGTATTTTAGAAGTGAGAATGGGCCAGGTGAAAAGGAGCAGAACACACTGGGCAGGAAAGTCCCCCAAGGCCACTCATAAGCAGTGGACGCAGCGGGTATCCAGACAACAGGCAGGTGCCTGAAGCCCTCCTATTTACCACACTTAATTCAAATTAGGGCAAGGCCGCACCCTAAAATACCCTTCCTGGAGCATGTTTTTCTTTATCTGTATCTTAGGTAGGAAAGGATGCAGGGTGGGGGTAGGTGG